GGCGGTCGAATTGAAACGAAGTATTCTCGAATATTCAAATCTTGATATAATAATTCTCCATAATATTATATATGGATTGTATATCAATGTATATATTGTATATTTATTTCAATGAATATACTCTTGATTACATATGATGGTTAAAAAATAAGGCAAAATCAATAAAAAATCATAAATATATTTTATAGATATAGTCCGAGCAAAAAATTGGCCAGGAGTCCTTCGGGACATCCGTTAAAATGGGAACGATACAGAGAAGATTAGTATGGCCCCTGCGCAAGGATGAAACGCATAAATCGAGAAATGGTCCAAATAAAAAAAAAAAAAAAAAAAAAAAAAAAAAAAAAAAATTTGGCCAGGCAGCGAAGGAAGCTGACGAGCAGAAGACCCTTCCCTTTTGTAAACTTCAGGAGCCTTGCTGCTTATTTTGTTGTGGCGGCTGCGTTGATTTTTGTGCAATTTCTATTTTCATTCTACCGAAAAACGAAACGAAACGAAATATTATGTTTTCGTCTGAATTTGCCACTACTTTGCGTAAAGATGAGTTACAAAAGGGAAGGGAGTCAGGTGAGTTTGGCGACGAGTGGAATTGACCCGAGCTTATTTCACCCCAGCAATTCACCCAAGCTTATTCATTACCGCAGCAAAATCTTCAATTATCCAGGGCAGGGCCGGTCAGGTCGATGACAATTTCTCAAGGCCGTTCGGGCGCAAAAAAAAAAAGAAAAAAAAAAGAAAAAAAAAATAAAAAAAAAAGAAGAAAAAAAAAGAAACGTAAACCCATGTCCTTGATTGGTGTTCTACGTTGTTGATTGGCTGTGTTCCCTACCCGTCGTCTAGATTGAGGACTGATTCTTTTTTTTTTTTTTTTTTTTTTTTTTTTAAACCATCCCAGGACTGCTATTTGGCTGGCCTTGTACGTAAGAGGTGATGAGCAGGTGGGGCTTTGCTTCCTTCCTTCTTTTCCTTTCCTTGTTTTGCTTTTTTTCGCCTTCGCGCTCTGATTCACAGTGTGACAATATACTTCTAATAATTATAATACTAATAGTAATAATAATAATCACAATAATAACAATAATAATAATAATAACGACAATAATAACAATAATAATAGTAATAATAATAATAACGAAATGGAAAAAGGGTTGCGACACAATATCGTTTCCCTTTCTTTTTCCTCCTCCGCCTCTTCCTCCTCCTCCTCTTTTTCCTCCTCCTCCTCCTCTTCCTCGGCATTTTATCAGCTTCCAATTATTCCTTCTCCTCGTTGTTGTCCTCCGCCTTCTCCTCTCCATGGTGGCTTCTTCCGCCTTCTCCTCTCCATGGTGGCTTCTTCTTCTTCCTGTTCATCCTTCTACTCCTCCTCCTCCTCGTCCTTCTCCTTCGGCTCCTCCTCCTAGCCTTCCGCCTCCACGTCTGACTCAGCGATTCCTTGTCCTCTTACTCCCCCTTCTGGCCGTGCTGCCTACTTTGTGTATGACCCTTGCCCCAATCCTCTCCTCCTCCTTGTCGTCCTGGCTATTCTCCCTCTTTTCCCGTCTTTTCTTCCCCTTCATCAGATTGGTTTCGTTTTCCTTGTCTTTCCTTCGCCCTCCGGGCTATGAATCCCACTCCTGGGTTCTCCTCTTTCCTCTCTCTCTCTCTCTCTGTGTCTCTCTCTCTCTCTCTCTCTCTCTCTCTCTCTCTCTCTCTCTCTCCCCACCCCGGCGCTTACTTCAGGTACGTCCTTTCTCTGGCATGCACGTGGAGGCATAGGACTCTACTTGTATTGCGGCTCGCTGCACTGCAAACCGAAATGTGAAACGACGATGGGTCTCGCCACACGGCACAGGAAAAACGTAAACGAAACGAGTGCATCTGCCCACGAAAGGTGGAAAATTACACTCGTTACTATTTATAGCAAACCGAGTGCACTCGTTTCGTTTTCGGTTTTGTGTGCCGTGCGGGGACGCCCTATCGTTGGCTAGAGCGTGGGAAGATGAAATGGCCACTGTTTTTAGCCGTTTTCACATTTTCTGATTTTCCATTGGCGCCCTTATATATATATATATATATCGTCACAACCAGAACTGCCCGGTAAACCGTAGGCAGAGAGAGAGAAGAGGACAACAAACGAGGGGCTGTGACAAACTGTTTCGTCCGGGGACCTCACAATTCTACCCGGGGATATCTGACAGCATCAGCCAGGTTAGCTTACAGGCGCAACGTCTGACAATTGTTTCCCTCACAAAATATTACTTGCATGAAGTCAAATGAACATCACATCTTTAGGCCAATTCAAATTCCAGGGATAGACCTACAGTGGGTACATGAGAAACTTACCTACGTCAAAACTCTGCACATTCGGACCTCCTACCTACCTGCTGTTGCCCTGCTGGGACTACAGCGGGACTACAGCGGCCAAGCGGACCTGACCCAGTGGGTCTGGCTCCTTACTCTACTGTCACTCCACTACTTGGCCCACTGCGGCCTTAAAACCGAGTGACCTGGTTTGGTGGAGGCACTCTGAGTAACTCCTACTCCTCAAGGACCGAGTGCCCTGGTAACCGAGAGGCATTCTGGCTAAGCACTAACGTATCACTACCTAACCGAACCCTAGCCGTTATATATATGTTTCCGGAAACGAGGCCCATTTTACTGAACAAACCAAAAAAAAAAAAAAAAAAAAAAAAAAACGAGGCCCATTTTATGCGAATAGAGTAGGGAAAACAAACTAGTCCTCGTAAGGGGGCCCTAACTGGTCCAGGGTGATTAATTTACCTTAACCCTTTTTTTCGTTCCACAGCCCTCAGGGAAGACCGTACACTTACCTGCCGTTACATATCAGGTGAGGCGTAGCTCCCCACCAATAGATGGAGCCTTCGACGTCCGGATCTACTTCTCGAGGATGCTCTTATCACCTACTTATAGAGGATGCTCTTATCACCTGGATGAGTAGGTTTCCCATAGACGAAGTTAAAAAAAAAAAAAAAAAAAAAGGAGGGCCGGGTGTCAGGACCTATACCTGTAGAGCAATCCGTAGGGTCCCACCCTTACATTTCTAGTCACCTCCGGGGGCTCCCTAGAGATTTTCGTCGGTTTGCCTGGGCCGCCCTCATTTTGTAAGGGAGGACCCTAACAGAGGAGAATGTGAAAACAGGAGGCTTAGGGATGGATTTTTTTGGTCATCAGGGAGTGGCGGAAGGATGATTTTGTAAGGATCGTTATATTTGTAGTGGTGTCCAACGAGGCCCTAATTACAAGCCAGAATCCAGAGGCCTAGCTCAGTTGGTAAGGCACGCAAGTGGCATTCGGGAGGTCTTGGGTTCAATTCCCACTTGGCCTCATGTACCTTCCTGGGCAAGCTTGGCGCCCGCCACCTAGAGATATGTCGTTGGTCCCCCCGAGTGGCATTGAGCAGAGACTGCTGATGTTCATAGGGGGAGGGGACCACCACCAGAGGGGAGGCACAGTGACTGGCCCATAGAAGAAGCTACTGTAGGTCCTGATGCTACCATCAGGCTGACCCCTGGACGGTATAGCCGACCTGCTGTAGCAGGTATAGGCTGCTGGTGGGTGCAGATCCTCCCGCATGTTCCCTCGTTGGAGGCTTGAGCAGGGATGTGGCTGCTACTGGGTTCCCCGTAATACTATAATGACAATAAAAAAAAGGCCTGAAAGGCTGTCCTGTCCAGAATTAGCCTTAAAAAAAAAAAATTAAAAAAATTACAAGCCAGTGTATTCCTTGAAAAAGAAAAGAGAAAAGAAAAACAAAGTAAGAAAAGCACCAAAATAGTGGGCCTCCTGCCTTTCAGGAGGCTGATGGACTTTTTTTTTTTTTTTTTTTTTTTTTTTTTTTAAAGGGGGTTTAGTGCCCAAGGCTGATATTATCCATAAGAAGATTGAGGCCGGGGTCCTCACAGTCTACCCGGAGTGACCAAAACAAACTTGCTGAGAACCGGGCTCAGCATCCCTCATAAACCTGATGATGATCATGATTCTAATGATAATGATTAAAAAATCAGCACCTCTGGCCTTCTAGTCCTAGAGCATCTCCTAGCTTTTCCTGTAACAGGACATTGTATCTCCGAGACAATCCCAACCTAACCAAACTCCCTTACAACTGATCTCTGCTCGCTACCTAGCAGTTTCCCCTGATTTGCCACCGGCTTGCCTTCCTCGCCAAACCCCAGATCTCTCTACAAGGCCTCCCGCTCCTGCCATTTGCAGGTTACAGGGCAACGCCCCAGCTCCGGCCAGCATCGTTCCGGTATCGGCCAACCAGGGGCACAAAACAGAGCAACTATACGGATATCAGTCCCGGTTCGGGTGACGAACTACTTCCCGAACCCGTGCTATCTTTCGTACCCCCTTTGTTTGCTTAACCCCATGAAAACCCCGTTTCGTTTTTCTTGACTTCAGGTGCCGCGAATTTTTGGCCCCCATCTTTCGGAAGCTTTTACGATTCTCGGGCTTTGCTTTTTCTTTTTGCAATTCGGGAAATGCATGGGAATTTACGTGCGCCTTAGCGAGCGCACTAGGAATTGGGCCCGACAGTTGGGAATTCCGGGATAAGCGGAGCGACAACGTGTCCTTTTTGTGTATGAATATTCTTGGTCACGTCGGGGAAAACTTTCGGAATTTTGTGGGAATACGAATAGGCGTAGGATTTTCTTTTCCCGCGTCGCTCTTTTACGCGCGGATATGGTGATTTCAATTTTGAATTGGTTTAGGATGTAGGCAAGCTGTAACTGTTCCGGTGCCTTTTCTTGTTTTTTGTTGACGGCGCCGCGCATGCAAAGCTTTCTCCCCTTTGTCCCCCGCATCGTTCTCTCCTGTGCTCCTTTTTCCTTCCCCCTCCTCTTTCTCTCTCCTCGTAACTGTTTTTTTCTCTCTCCCTCTCTCTCTCCCGCTCTGCTCGTTGCGCGCCCATTTCCCTTTCTTGATCATCTGAATCTTGGACCCGTCTCGCGCTTTTTCTCTTCTCCCCCTGTAAGCTCAGTGCATGACGCCCGGTTGATCCTACGATAACTCCCGCTCGCCAATCAGGTACGTAGATCAATAGGAACTTCCTATTGCGCGACGAATCTGATTGGTTGAACCTTGAGTACCGAGAGATCAACATGGCTTCCACGAAGCGCTCTTCTCAAAGTCTTCTCCTCCTGCTTCTCCTCTTACACCTCAACTTCCTTTTCACTTTCTCCCCCTTCTGTCTCCCTTGTCACAACTATAAAATCCGCTAGCGCGTCCGCAAATCTCTCTTACGTTCTCGACTCTTGAGCGAACTTTCGGGAAGAAGTGGCTAGGCAGAGTGTCTGATGCGAGTCAGAAAGTCCTGTCATGCTGACGATAGGCTGGCCGGTTGCGCGCTTGATTGCCACAACGAAGTGTGGGATCTGGGCGAACTGCGTTGAGCATACGTCGGCCGGGTGACGATCGCAGTGGTGGGAGTTAGCACGTGGCGGCTGGGATCGTCGGTGCGGATATGGGGATGGATAATCGGAGTTGAGTGAGTGTTTGGCCCGGGGCCATATTGGAATTCGAAGCGAATGCGCCTTTGTAATTGCGGATCTTTTTCTTCTCACGTGAGTGTGCGGCGGTAACGCCGAATTTCTCCTCTCGGGTCTTGTCCTCTTCTGTCTCAATACTCCTTCATCTGCTTCTCTCTCCCTCCTTTATCTATGAATAATGATGAGCCTTGATGTTGGTTTCTTTCTCTCCCTCTCCTTCTTCAGAATGGGAATGAATCAGTTGCTTTCCTGTGTGAGAGAACTTCGTCCGAAACTCTTCTATTAGTTACCTGGGTAATCCTCAGAGATCGAGGAATTGATCCTCTTGTCTTGTGAACGGTGGATGCGTGCGTACGAGTCCCTCGGTTGATGTCTAACTTGTATACCCCTATCTTTTTGCACCTTTCATAGTGAATGTATGTATGAAGATGCACGTCTTTTTTTTGTGTTGATTAGACGCAGCCCTCCGCAGGATTTTGTTCGAGAATGCAAGAGTGTTAAGATCTGTAGTTCTGACTACACTGCGCATGCCATCTGCCCTATGCTGCCCAACATCTGCCGCCAAACTACAAGGCGGCCTCAAGAAACAAGGCGCCTTGGATCAACACCGCGTTGGCTCCCTAAAAGCTAAGTCGCGGGTCGATCTGTGAGTTGCATGCATGATCAAGCTGATGAGTGTTTTCTCTCTCTCCCTCTCTCTCGTATCGAAAAGGATTGATTGGGGTTTGCGCGAGTGTTTTCTTGTATGATGACGTCTCGAGATTTTCGCAATTGATTGATATGTGGACTGACAAGCACCCTTTGGTCGGGCGCCAGCCCCCCGTATCTCCCGTCCTGACATGACCGTTTCCCTATAACGAGGAAAGGACACGTGTATGCGAGTGGGACGTACAAGAAGCTGTCGCACAAGTCAGTGGACAATATTACTTTTCTCTCGAAAATCGTTGCTCTAGATTTGTGGATGCTGGATTTGTTATTATTGACACGCACTTTTCACCCTACGCGGTATTGCTCCCCTTCAACGAGCTGATTGTCATTCCGTGGACGGCAGTGGCGCCCCATTGGCCCCGAACCCTGTGCACCGAGTGCCAGCGTTTCGATCAGTACGAAGCAAAGGGCTTCCACTACCGAATACGGAGTGAAGACGAGCATAAGGAAAGAGCCACACGCTTGAGGCCATCCACGTCAGACTGAGAACTGACCAGCGAGCGACGTTGGGACTTGATACAAAAATGAGACACGCGAAGCGTGCCCAAGCCATTCTGCTCTAAATGACGGGCCATAGCACGGTGGGAGGCTCGACAGTACTTTTTGGATTGAATTTGGATTTTTCTCTTTTCGCGTCGGGCCCGCGCGCATTCCGCGACGCGCGAAAACAACGACTTGCTTCATTCGACCAACACGGGGGATTTCAGTTCCATCTGTGTTACCACACTTGATTTTCAAAAATCCTTGGCAGACCCCATCTTGCCGTTTTCCCGGGCCTCTTTCCGCACACCTAGCACTCCGAATGGAAGACGATACAGGGTGTGAGGTTGGTATCGGAGCCCACACATGTCGGTTCTGATGATAGTAAGTCGAACTGGCGAGAGGTAAAAGAAGTTCTCAACCAGCTCGAAGAGATCACCCAGTGACCAGGTCTCGATCTGGTGCGGTAGTACCCTCAATGCCAGACGGTACTAGAGTGATCGTTAGCATTCCTGCCCCTTTCCCCTTCTTCCCTAACCATACCCATCCCGAGGCTTGGTTGGAAGCCGTTGAAGCTCAAGACTACAGTGCGGGTGATCTTCCCCACGTTCTTACCTTGTTGCTCCGCAATACGTCGCATGACTGGTTTAGAAAGCATGCGTGGGTAGATTGGAATACTTTCAAACTTGCCTTCTTGGCTCGATTCGATACTGTAAGTGAAGACGCCGCCTAGTACGTGCTCAAAACTCGGCCACAAGGACTAGAGAAATTATTGCCCGATTTCGTGGATCGATTTCAAACCACGTTGGACAAATCTAGGCGAGACGAGAAATCCGCTCGAGGTCTGCTCATCGATCACGTACGAAATCCGACATTAAAAGGGAAATTGCAGAAAAAGGTCCCGCCGAAGACACACGTGCTGTCTGCGATCATCGCCAAAGCATTGGAATTAAACCTGGCTGATACAAAAAAATATATCAGTCAGGGAGATGAAGATATTACGGATCCCGTACATGATGTAGTGGCTAAAAGGCGATCGTGGTTGCGAGTGGTAGAACAGTTTTATCCCGGCCCTGACCATGACCTCCCCGACGGGATCACTTCCGATATCCCGACCGTCTCTTCTTCCTCCCCCCCAGTGAATCAGCCAATCGCAGCAGTAAAAAGTAGAGTCTCACCCGAACTCCCCTTGCCGGCCGTGACTAACTTACATCTTGCCCAGATGATCTATACGGCCACTACCAAGCAGTCCGAATGGATGAGCAACTTTATCCAAATGCAGGCCGCCCACATGGAGCGGATGAAACAGATAATGAGCAGGCTCATCAAGCCTAACCCGACCCCCGCTCGGAACAGCCCCGCGTCGTTTCCACTCTTGAAGGCACCGCCTGCACCAGGATACGCACCTCAGTTCCCTCACCCAACTAATCCAGCAGGAAAGATTGAATGTTTTAACTGCAAATAGCCCGGGCATGTCGCCGGAGACTGTCTGCAGCCAAAGCGTAATCAGCCCCCACCTGCTGCGGCCCCTGTGGCTCTGAATCAAGGACGAGTGGCCGCATTGATGGATAGTGCCCAAGGAGGGGAACTAGTAGCCTATGCCCCAGAACAGCCTTTCCCCTCGGAGGCAACGGCGTCGACATCGGGAGCTTCTTCCTCCGACGCTGCTGACGTGGTTGATCCACTTGAATATCTCCATCTTGCAGGCATGGTCGGAGCGATCCGATCGTCCCCTGATGATCTCGAATGGGTGGATCGTGAATCCAATCCCGACCCACAATTTCGGACGGGAGAAATTGATGTATTGCGAACGCTCAAGCAATTGGATATCCGTGTTCCGATCCTGGTGGGACATTTGCTCACCATATCTTAAGCGGCAAATGATAAACTTTTGCAACATTAACAGAAAAATCAAAAGCGCTTCACCTATCAGCGCATACAACGAATGTTAAAGAAGAAGGAAGGAGGCGAGGAAGTCGCACCGCCCGAACCCGAAGCCAACGAATCGAGGTCACGTGAATAGCAGCGATCCATGTAGCAGAGAAGGAGCACTTCGTGCAAGCTTGACCGGTAGTATGGAAGAGCGTGGAATGTGATTGTGAGGTTTGGGGCAAGTCGTTTAACGCCCTTTTCGACACAGGGTCTTCTGCGGTGGCAATATCATCAGACACTGTCAGAAAGACTGGACGGCTCGGATCCATTCTTCCTCAATCTGGCAAAGACAATTATGTCTCTGCCGACAAGGAAGCAATGAACATCGTAGGCATTATTGAGAATGTGGATGTAAAGGTTGGACGAGTACACGTCCTCGTTAACGCACTTGTGATAGATGTGCGCTCTTATTCTGTACTATTGGGATTGCCTTAGGCGACGGCGGTGGGCGCACGCTTGCATTTCGATTCAGAACAACTGGTGCTCACACAAACTGGGGGAAAGCCCTTGACTGTTCCCTTGCGAATTTCCACCCAAACGATAAAATGACCTATTAACTCACCCCAAATAGGGATGATTCGATGCATTGATCCCAATGAGCATTCCTCCTCCGACATCGGCAGTGGAATCAGGGAACAAGAATATGAGGAAGAACTACCTAGTGAGGATGAATGGAAGCACCTGGTCGAACTCTTCGAACACGAAATTCCCGAAGAATTTCGAGTGCGCCCCGACACTGCCCGAAGCTTCCACGTGGATTCAGGAAATAGCGCGTCTTCGCCTCCGAAGATCCAGGTCAGTCCTTCTGTCCTCCTCAGGGAACCAATCTTGCAAGTGTCTGACCTGGCCGACGATTTGGAACCCCCTCGGACCTTGTACGAGGGAGCACTTTCCTTGCGAACGCATTATCAGCAAACGGAACATTATTTGGATGTTTCTGTTTTTCTGCCCCGACCGCTACTAACGACAGGAGCAACGATTGCTCTGATTAAACGGGAAGCAGAAGCACCGGTAAGTGATGTACCTGATCTAATGTAAGAGATGACGGACCTAACAGGACCGACTGTGGAACTGACTTCAGCCGGCTCAGAAACTGACGCCAAAACTAAAGAGACCGAAATTATCAGCCCCACCGAATCACAAATGATTGTGATTGTCTTCTCTGTTCGCATCCATAGTTCTGTCTTTTCAAGCATCTACGACCAATGGGAGAGGTCGGTTGATTGGATCGACATACCTCTAAAGATTCTCGGGGAATCAATGATTACCCTACCGAACCACGTCCCCACGAAACTTCGAAAGTCATTGATTAATGTTCTGAACGGTTATGCAGAAGTGTTGAGCGTGCATGATAACAATATTGTCCTAACTAACGTGATTGAGCATGCCATCCTCACGGGAGATCATCTGCCCATTAGTTGCGCTCCTTATCGATACTCGCCAGCTCAAAGAGCGGCCGCTTTTCAGCGGATTAAAGAGTTCGAAGCTAATGGATGGATCGAACCCGCTATAGGTCCATGGTCTTTTCCCGTAGTAATCGTGCCTAAAAAGGCCGAAGGGATTTGTATTTGTATCGATTATCGAAAATTGAATGATATCACGATCAAAGATGTGTAACCCCTCCCCCTGATTGATGAGTTGTTGGATGCGATTGGGAGTGCGTGGTTTTTCAGCAAGTTTGATGTTCGCCATGGGTTCCATCACCTTCTTGTCCGAGAAGAAGATTGTCCGAAAACAACGCTTGTGCTTTTAGAGGGTACGTGGCAGTGGATTCGATGTCCAATGGGTATCTGCAATGCCCCCGCGACCTTTCAGCGAGCCATGAATATGGCTTTTCAGAATTTCGTGCGGAAGACCCGTTTGGCGCAGAGCATCATCAACTACTGCGTGATTGTGTACATGGATGACATTCTGGTGTACTCGAGTTCCTACGAGGGACATGTGCAACACATCGAATGGGCTCCGCATGCGTTGCGAGATGCGGGCTTCAAAGTGGCGCTTGAGAAATGCCAATTTTTCCTTACCACCATTTCCTTCTTAGGACACGTGGTAACCGACAAGTGGCTCCAGCCGGAGCCGCAAAAGGTGGTAGCTGTCAGAGATGCGCCGGTGCCTACGACTATCGCGCAAGTTCGCGCCTTTTTGGGCCTGGCCTCATACTACCGAAGATTTATCAAGGGCTTCGCGATGATTGCGGGACCCCTCATGAATCAGTTGCGCAAGGATCAACCGTTGATCTGGATGCCGAAGTGTGATCAAGCGTTTTCAAAACTCAAGGCCACTCTCATTTCGGTTCCGGTCCTTATAAGACCGGATCCTGAAAAGCCTTTTCTTCTCATCACTGTCTGGCAGCCAGAGGCAATTTCGACGATCCTTGCCCAGGTGGGACCAAGTGGACTGGAGAGCGTGGTGGAGTACGCATCCAAATTAGTTCCCGCCTTCAAGCGCAACTACGCTGCTCCAACTGGAGAATGCTACGCGACTCTCTGGGGAATCCGTCACTTTCGCGCTTACCTGTACGGGCGGAAGTTCACCTTGGTAACCGATCATGAACCCCTATTGGCTCTGAAGAAATCGAAGGATTACTCTGGCATGATCGAGCGATGGGCAACGGTGCTGCAGAGCATGGACTTTGATATTCGTCATCGGAAGCACGAGAGACACGGGAATGCGAATGGACTGACACGACTGCACCGGCCTGAGAAAGTTTCGAAGAGTGAGGAGGTGATTCCGTGGAACGAGCCCGAACAAGAGATCGGACCTCGGTACGGCCAAGTGGAAATCCTGTCGAAGCAGTAAGTGACATGAGGAAGAATTTGTCTGTTTTATCCTCTCCGCAATTCAGTCCCATCTCTCCTCCTTTGTCATTATGACTACCCCACCTGTATCCGCAACCCCTTCTTCTCCTACTAATTATACCCCGCTCACTTCCTTAGCTTTCTTTGCCACCCTCCCCGATAAATTCTGCTATTTTTGCACGTGTATTGCACGGGTATAGGGTCGACTGTCATCCTTTCGAAACCGGGTTTGTCGATTGGGTAGAATGTGCAACATGTGTCAATCGTGCGCACGGGGCCTGCGTTCGATATCGGACAAGTAGCAAGGAATGGAGGTGCCCCCTGTGTAGAATGAACAAACTCCCCACAGAGGTTCGATTCGAGGCCGTCCGTGCGGACGACCCTGAATACGACGAAAAGTACAGACGAGCGGAGGTTTGGACGGATAAAATTTTGTTGGCGAAATTAGCGGGATTATCATTGGGTCACCTCACCAGACACGACAGGCGTAGGGCAACCAAGAGATCTCGGGATTATCGGTGGATCAACGGTCATTTGGAAAAGCGTAAAACTGACAGATCGGGTTCGTGGTTGACGGTTCCTCATCCATTCCAGAGATATGATTGGATCCGATCTGGTCACGAAGAACAGGCCGCTCATTTCGCGATACGTGTCACGGAGACAACTATAGACCAGAACCGATGGTTCTAGTCAAATATACGAGATGATGTCAAATACATCGTTGCAAACTGTCTGGTCTGTGCCGCAGATCGCGCCGCAATACGGGGACCGAACACGATAGTACCCATGGAAGTAGAGCGTCCGTTCCAGCGAGTCAGTATGGACACAACAGATATCAACGTGCCACCTAGCCCAAACCGGTGTGAATATTCTATCCTGTTGGTATTAATAGACCATTTTTCCAAGTACATCGAGGTGTATCCCTGTAAGACCCGAAAGGCCGCAGAAATGGCCACGTACATCGAACGGTTCCTCTATACCCGTCTAGACACTGAAGAAATTCTAACCGACAACGGGTCCAAATTTAAGGGAGCAGTAGAGGAACTGCTCGCACGAAGAGGCGTTACGCTCAGACATACGGCACCCCACGTGTCCCTGTCAAATGGGTTGGCCGAGAATGCTAACCGTATGATTAAACCGCCCTTCGCAGGAATTTAGCGGCACACAACACGCGTCCGTGGCCCGAGATCGTATATCAGATCGTCGGAATCCACCGGGCCACCCCTCACGAGTCTACGAGGCTTACCCCTTTCCAGCTTCGTACTATTAGCCTCCCCTGTGTCGACTACCGGGGTAACTCCGAAATCGCCGAAGCAGGGGGTAGAGACACGCATGCAACCCTCAAGGCCAAGGCCAAAAGGTATACCGAATTAATGAAGCAGGTCGTCCCCAAGCTAGCCCTGAAAAGACAAAGGATGACTGACCTAGCCCACGGTAGGCAGGTCCGTAGCTACGAGGCTCGAAACGAAAATGCTGGGCCCCAACATCAATATAAATTAGGGGACCTAGTGCAGGTACGTAAATGTGCACGCGATCGGAAACTCGCTCCTAAGTTTTTTGGTTGTTTTCGTGTTGTTGAGCTCTGACCAAACGGCGTTAACACGGTGCTCATCGCGCCTGAGGCTAGTGCCAGCCATAGCTTTGTCCCCATCGTCCGGCATACCTCCTACCTTCGTCCTCTTCCTCCCTCTGATCTTCCATCCTCTGATCTTCCTCCATCTTCTTCCTCAGAAAGCGAGGAGGACGACGATGATCTAGCTCTCTCTCCGCTCCCTCCCTCGTGCCCTTCGTCTTCCTCTCCGACCTCGCCATGAGTTTCATCACGGAGTGGGCTCTTGACGAACAACTGTTGCAGCCACGTGGCCACATCTCGGAAATTCGGCAAGTTCGTCATCCACGACTTAATACGGATCTGCGGCGTTTGGTGCAGTTCTTCTGCGACGTGGGCGTGTGTGCCGCCGCCGCGTTTCGAAGGGAACTCTCGGGCTGTGGGATTAGCGGAAGTAATCGCAGTTCGTCGGCGAGCGGCTCCTGGACCGAGCTACGTCACCACAGTCGCGGCTTTCAGCGGCGACATCAATTCGGTCAATCCACGGTGGCACACCGCGATCTTGGGTTCACTGCGAGAGTGGACAGAGCAGGTGTCCAACGTGTGGCAGCACAGTCTCGCCCAACTAGGGCACAAGCTCATCCCGACCTTTGCACCAGATCTTGGCGACATCCGCCGCTCTGCGTGCGAGCCGCCAGTTGCGATCCCCACCCTCGTTCCCTTCCTACCTTCCCAATGAACCACGACGATCCTCTCGCTCCTCTCTCTTTCTTCGGTCTTCCCTCTGTCTTCCCCATCTTCTGGCAGTCCGATCTTAACCCTTCTCTCTCTTTCTCGTTTCACCCTCTTTCTGTCCCGCTCATTAATCCTGGACATTGGCGACTGTGGCGTGATACATTAAACGAGCTCTCCTTCTACTTGGCCCGAGTACAGGTAACGTGGACGCAGACCAACGAACATCCTGCGTGGATCAAAAATGTGGAGCTGCTGATCATACAAGCTTGGAGGAATAACGCCGAGGGCGATCTTCTCAGCTTTCTCTTTGGCTCGGTGCGGCCGAGCCACCGCCATCGCGTTGATCGTGCAATTGGCGGTCGATCTCTTGCCCGACATCTATTCAGAAAGTGACGACAGCCCTGCTCCGTACGTTCTCGAGCGGTCGTTGGATCCGTACCTACAGTGGACGGCGTGCGTGGAATAGCCAAGAGACGACGATACGTTACCTTCACGGCAGGAGTATCTGAAACCGTACGACATCATCCCTCACGCCTTCTCTCCGAAGCCAGAGGAAGTGGTGATCGACGAAGACGAAGAAGACGACGACGAGGAAACGTCGGAGGAATGGAGCTATAGCGAGTATAGCGAGGGCGAGCTGAGTGAAGAAGAAGAAGAAGAAGAAGAAGAGGAAACCGGGTCTGACTGGCAAGCCTTGCCGGAGGAAGCGGCGCCCACAAGCACAGAGGCGGAAGAACCGGAAGCAGCGCGAAGGCGCGAAGAAATTGCCGCCGAAAAACACCTGCTGGAGTTTGCCAGCGCAGCCAGCTTGCGCATCAGTAACGATCTGACCAGGGATCCAGATTCGTCGAAGCCCGAAGATGGCGACCCAGCAGCCGCCACCTCAACCGCCGCGCAGCGGAGACGGAACCGATCCCCCTCCTCCTCCATCCCAACCTGTCCCCAGTTCGCCCATGTACCGATGCGGGCGATAGGCCTTTGTCCTCGGACACTATCCCGCCGCCCCCTTGATTTCCTCACCCTCGAACAGATCCGCACCCACGTCACCTTCCCCCTCCATCCCTTCCTTCCCCATCTCTTCCGCGAATTCTACTCTGCCCGCCTACTCGCTACCGTCCACCCCCACGCATCCCTTAAGCCCGCTGCCCCCACATTCTGGTGGCATATCCTGGTGTTCAGCGCTGCGTGGGAGCAATGCAACGTGGTAGAAATCTATTGCGTAGCCATGGGGACGATCCCCGCCTGTCGCCACTACGAGTTCTTTCGAGCGGCGCTTATTCGCACCCTCTCTTCCTTCTATCGCGACTATCTCGCTTCGCTTCCTCACAGCGGCGATCACTTTCCTCGCTTCCACCGGATCATCCGATATGAGGAGCTTCTGGTGATGGTAGAAGGGATGAATCGCTACCTACCCCCACTTCCTCCCCGTCGCCCCCGTGGACTCCCCCCCGTGTACCGTGTCTACTTCCTTATCCCCACGATACTCTAATCTCCAACCCTTCGACAAGAGAAGACGACACGAATAAGAAGTTTTGCGAAGATCACGACAAGGACGATAACGTCCATTCACACTCTGATTCGACGGGCCGCGACGAGCTGGGATGCAGAGCACACAGAGATCAGGTGGACCATGATGGCGTCACCTGGACGATCTCTACAATACGAAGAGCAGGAGGTTGCACATGACAAGGCTGCAGAGATCTTGCCACGGATGTTGTCGCCATCTCCTCCGCGGCTCAGTTATCGTTCCTTGTGCTTCTTTCTGATGCCCTGTCTTCTTCTACCCCCTGTTCAAACCCCCATTCAGTCAAGAGATTGAAATTGAAGTTGGCATCAACATGAACTCTCTGTTGATACGCTTGGTTCCTCATGCATCACTCTTCCCCCTCCTCCCTTCTCCCTTCTCCGCCGTGACATGCAATCAGCAGATCGCATGATTTTGGAACCCCCTGCGCGTCACATATGTGACGAACTACTTCCCGAACCCGTGCTATCTTTCGTACCCCTTTTTTTTGCTTAACCCCATGAAAATCCCGTTTCGTTTTTCTTGACTTCGGGTGCCGCGTTTTTTTGGCCCCCATCTTTCGAAAGCTTTCACGATTCTCGGGCTTTGCTTTTTCTTTTTGCAATTCGGGAAATGCATGGGAATTTACGTGCGCCTTAGCGAGCGCACTAGGAATTGGGCCGGACAGTTGGGAATTCCGGGATAAGCGGAGCGACAACGTGTCCTTTTTATGTATGAATATTCTTGATCACGTCGACGAAAACTTTCGGAATTTTGTGGGAATACGAATAGGCGTAGGATTTTCTTTTCCCGCATCGCTCTTTTACGCGAGGATATGGTGATTTCAATTTTGAATTGGTTTAGGATGTAGGCAAGCTGTAACTGTTTCGGTGCCTTTTCTTGTTTTTTGTTGATGGCGCCGCACATGCAAAGCTTTCTCCCCTCTGTCCCCCGCATCGTTCTCTCCCGCGCTCCTTTTTCCTTCCCCCTCCTCTTTCTCCCTCCTCGTAATTGTTTTTCTCTCTCCCTCTCTGCTCATTGCGGGCCCATTTCCCTTTCTTGGTCATCTGAATCTTGGACCCGTCTTGCGCTACTTCCCGTGCCTTTTCTCTTCTCCCCCTATGAGCTCAGTGCACGATGCCCGGTCGATCCTTCGATAACTCCTGCTCGCCAATCAGGTACGTGGATCAATAGGGACTTCCTATTGCG